CTGAGATCACCTTGCCTTGAGACTGGCTGTTATAAGTGTGGTTTTCCTCCGCCTCTGCACATCCATGTTTGCATAGTACTCTGATAGAGGTCATTTTCGCTTCCTTCCACATTTTTTTCCAATTAATTGCTTATAAATCATTCTAAAATTTTGCATTGTGTAAGAATATTCTACTCTCTTATCGGCATTTTAGAACATGTAACAATAACACAAAAATCTTTATGTACATTCCATGAATTCTTGTAATGAATAAGAACTCAAAAATCTTTGTGTACATTCCATGAATTCTTGTAATGAAGGAACAAAAAATGTGATAAAAAAGTAGTTTCTTAAGATGAGTGTCTTGTGGGGTGTTGCACTGTGTAGTATCGCAGATATTGATCGACGTTTCAGAAGTGCTCATTCCCTCCATTATCAGGTTGCCTTCAGTTAAACACAAACGCGAATGCGCCTTTCCTGCAGGCAACACTGTAAAGCAGCTGGCAGAGGTAATCGAGCGGTGCTGCATTCATATGGTAAAATGGACAAGTAATTAACAAAATCGACAGTGAGCTAATTTTCTTTCTGGTTTTATTGCCCGCGGTCGCCATACTTGAAGAAAAACTAAAGATAAGTTGCCTGGTGTAAGAGTAAGGTAACGAGAAGTTAAGGAAAAGAGCAGAAGATGGTTGCTGCTCATTAGCGGTGCAGTGAACATGTAGCATGAATGCCTCTTATATGGTAAATAGGCCACAGGCTGCGTCGCACGATTTCTAAGATTTCATTATTGCTGCTAGTTTCATGTGGCAAGAACTCAGGCGATGGATGACGAGCGCCTCCTCCAGGGTGAAAATGACGTCACTTCTTCTCGTGCAGTGAACTCCGCACGAGCGTCATTACCGCGGTGTTACATTAACATGGCAGAATAATTACGAAGTAAATATAACTTAACGAGTGAGCCGTCCTCAGTCGTAGCTGCCTGGAACATTCGCTAATGATGAGGTACCCTAGAATACAGAATGTTCACAATATTTGTATCCTATAACCTAGCGGTGAGGCCTGGAGTGTACCAAGTTCGATTCTCAAGCGTGGTACAGTCTATCGTCATTATGGGTTTTATATTTTCCTCGGTCACGCCATGTGATTCCGGGGGCAGTACCTTGAAATAGTCCACGGTTATTTTCTCCGTATTCCTACCTGCTGACTATTTATAATCATACTGCCGTCTCATTCTACTGATTCTCTACAGGCTTGAGAAAATGGTTGATTCATTTTGGAACATTATTTGTGTATTGCCTATTAATGTATATTTTATAGACCCCGACCGATCGTTTGCCATTGATGATGATGATGATGACGACGATAGTAATAATAATAATAATAATAATAAAGTGTGTCATGACAACCAATTGCCTGGCGAAATGTCGTATATCAAATTTTCCTCAGAACATGGACAATTACGAGCATAATTTTCCCATAAAATCTCATTCTACGCTATGTAGCTGAAGTATGTAGTTTAAATGGATCATTAAACAGGTTAGGAGGACTTATTCTTTTCGTAATGCGTAAAAGTAGTTATGCTCTTCAGGGTAATACAGCGATGGGAAAAATATTTCGACTTAAGATTACGGAAATGGCAGGAGAGGAGGCTGCAAAGTTTTTACTGTTCATCAAATATTGTTTAGATGGTCAAATCATCAAATCGATAAGGATAGTCAGATGAGTGAGGCATGTAGAACGCATGTGGGAGATGAGAAGTGTATACAACATTTTAGTTGGGAAACCTACAAGAGACCTTTTGGGTGACCAGTGCAAAGAGAGAGGCCAGTTTTAAAATGGATCTTTAAAAAGTCGGCTGGGAGGTTGTGAACTGGATCATTTGCCTCAGGACAAGGACCGGTGCCCGGGAGTTGTCAAAACGGTAATGAACTTCCGGGTTCAGCAAAGAACGAGGATAATTTTGACTAGCTGAACGACTATAAGCTTATCAAGAATTTTCCTGCCGCATGGAGTGAGTGAATTTTTGAGTTTGTTCGTTAGTTGGTTAGGAGTAGCCATTAATGCCCGTTCCGTCTTCGGAAATCAGTCTATATTTATTTGTCGTCTTATATTTTATTATCTTACATGTCTACGCTTCAGTTCACCTTCAGATGTTCGATGTAGACGGACAAGTTCTGTTGATTTTTATTTGTTATAGGCTATTGTGTTTGTGAATGCTTTCAGTTACTTTCTTGGTTGCGAATTCTCTTCTGTTTTTCACTTTACGTAAAACAATTTTTGCTGCTAGTTGCCGGCAGTCTGCATCATCATTAATGTTCTTTTGTATGTGACCCAGTTTTCAGTACCAAGTAAAAGTACAATATTGCTTGCAAAGTTTTAATTCATTATACTTTCTCGTCTTATCTTTCAGTGTCTTGTTAAAGGTTCAATGTATGGGTTGCATTTTGTGTCTTTTATCACTACCTCTTCCTTAATTTTATCTGCTTTCAGTCGAAATTAATGACCATTTCGATAAAGCTTTTAACAGGTTGTAGGATCTAAACAATATAAGCTGAATAGTCTATTGTGTTCATGAAATATTGTCATGTGCAGTTCCGTGTCCCATGTATGGTATACTTCTGTCTAAAGACATTGTGTTTAAAAAAATAGATAACAAAATGGAAGCCGAACTTGAAAGAGAGATCAAGAAATACAACGTTTCATAATAATACGCCATGTGCGTTACGCAAATCTCGTGAAATAGAATCACCCTGGAAATTTTGTGTTTATCCATCTGTCGGCTTACTTTGTCTCTGAAACTGGAAATTATATATGACTGGAATGATTTCATCCATAGTTCTACATCGCATCTTATAGATTTTTCAAAAATAGTTCCATGTAAGAAAGAAAATTGGCATATCACACAAAATAAATAAATAGCCTATAATAATATATACGTACATATTTTATTTCAAACTATTTTAATTACATACAATGAAAATGTATTTCTTATTCTGTGAGGTGTGATACATTTGGTGTGATTATTATTTAAACATTTCAACAGACAAATGAACACCAAGGTTATGCAGAATTTCAAGATGCATTTGAAATTACGTGTACTCCATGTTCAGTACATATTTTCACTTTTGTTTAAATTATCAAACAGAAGAAACACAGCCACAATTAGAATTTTCCTAATTATTTTTAGAATGGTTTCAGAACGAAAAATGTCCAAAATATATGATCACCCTTTACACCAGTTTACGAAACAAAGATTATTTTGTGGCTGTTATTAGGTTACGTTAACATTATAACTGAATGCATGTGTATATAGGCTATGCCCATAAGTATTAGCCAAATTAAAAACTTAACATATTTCTGCTACAGATATGATTAAATGTCCATAAAATGTATTTTATACCAGTGCTTGTGGAGAATAACGTTGTCTGTGCATAATGACGTTACATTTCTGCATGCCACTTAATAATGTATAACACTTCATTCAGCACAGCCCCTGTTGGAAATCATACAGTCACTCGGCCACTCAAGAAATTCTCCGTCCTTTATGGAAGCCTGAGATTTATTACAGTGTTTACGAAAGCCCGCTATTTGACTGTATCAGCAGCCAGTTTAAACCAGTCCATACCCTCTTTAGTTAGGTTATTTATTAAAATCCATTTTAATATCATCCTCCCATCCACTCCTTTGTCTCAGAACTGGTCTCTTCGTTAACTTTTTCCGATTACACTCATTTCTCATGTCCCACACTTCTACTCCGTGATTTGGAAGTCAAGATACTTTGTTAGGAATACAAATTGTGAAACTCCTTGTTATACATACAGCTTCCTTCGTTCTGTTAAACATCCTCCCTCTCTCCCTCCCACTCTATCATACACTAGCCTTCTCTTCTACTATCATATCTCAACGCCGTCTGCCTTGTAATTACATCATGCCTTCCCTTCAGTTCACTAGACTGAGGCTTTCGTCACAGTTTGAAATCGCTGATCTAACTTGGTTCACAATGGCCACATGCGACGTGATGTGCTATATTGAAGTTACGTTACATATTAAATGAAATCGTATGTGGATCATTTCGCTGTGGGAATTTGCTACGGCGCCACAGAAAAACCTCCTCGTTTCTTTGTTGCTGTAGGAACCGCACAATTTGTTCAACTGTTTATTCCTCTTTCTGATTTGTATGTATGCGTAAGTGACGTAGCGCTTGCTGAGGATTGTGTTACGTTATCCACAGCTACCGAGTGCCACAGGACACTCCACTTCCTTGTATTTTAACTATAGTCTATACTAGCAATTCAAAATACTGAGTCGAACTCTACCAGCTGTATAGAAGGTCTATCATATGTTGACAAGTTGATAGCTACTCAGCTGATCAAGAAATTCTCTATCTTTTTAAGCAAGTCCAATATCCGTGACCGTATTTACAAGAAGCTGTCAAAAATGTATGAATTTCTTAACCTCCTTTCATGCTACATACTCCGTCCATCTCATCCCTGTCACAATAATACTGACCAATTTGATGAAAAGTACAAATTATGCATGTACTCACTAAATTATTTATGGTACCGGTATGTTCATTACCGTGTTTACAAAAGCTTGCCACCAGACCCAACGATAGCCATGTGTTTGTTTCGCTCGCCGCGAGCGTAAGCCTCATCTAGCTGGCTAACAACGCCTTGCTTGCTGGAAGTGACTAACGACTCATTTATCTGATCGGTTCTGTTGTGTTCATTTGTATGGAGTACCACTGAACCACAAAAGTAAGACGGAAGACTTTTTAAAAACTATGACGCTCCACGTTTACGCGATCCTCGGTCACACTTTACTTCGGACCAAATGTTCTTATCAGCACCTTGTTCGTAAACGCCCTGAACCCCTCACTATGCAGTAGATCATATGGAATTGACACTGATGAATTACGAACAGCCATAATTAATTATTAGGATGTTTCGTTTTGTTTCTAGTGGAACGTTCATACTCTCTGGAGGTTGCAGAACTGAGTGTGGTAAAATGGTTTGTTTCAGAACGACGGATACGTCATGGACAAAGAAAAACATGGTCAGGCGCTGTGCCCATACGACCCGCAGCACAACAGCACTGCAGTCTTCGTTGGTAAGTTGCAAAGTATATTTCATATCAACAGCGTTCTGTCTCATGCGGTGCAACTAAACTGCAATTTGTATGAGACAGTTGTTATTCCACTACTTAAATCTTTGTGACTTATTTTGTATAAATAATCCCATAGAAAAATTTGGCTTCTGTTGTCGTATACTGGCATGTTACAATTAACAGCCGGAGAATGTGGAGCATTTCAAGTACTTGGGAAGCATAGTCACGACGGACGCCCTATGCACCAAGGAAGTAAAAGCAAGGATAGCCATGGCCAAGGCAGCTTTCGTCAAGAAGAGGATACTTCTCACTAGCAAGTTGGGCTTGGAGATGAAGAAGAAACTAGTGAAGTGTTACGTATGGAGCAGAGACTTGGACACTCAGGAAGAAGGAACAGAAATACCTGGAGAGTTTTGAAATGTGGTGTTGGAGAAGAATAGAGAAGATCAGGTGGACGGATCGAGTGACCAACGAAGAAGTATTGAGGAGAGTCAACGAGCAAAGATTACACGAAGGAAAGCTAACTGGCTGGGACATATTATGAGAAGGAATGGATTAATGAGTGATATCATCGAAGGCCAGGTTGAAGGAAAGAGAGGACTAGGAAGAAGATTGATACAGCTAACCGACGATCTGAAACAAGGAAAGAAGATGAAGTTCCAGGAGTTAAAACGAGAAGCTGAGAATAGGGAAAACTGGAGAGCTCTTTTTGGGCAGAGCAATGGACCTGTCGTAAGACAGAACACTGAATAATAATAATGTTACAATTATATATTTATATATTGGGGCCTATCCAGTGGGTACTGGGGTCCTTTCCCGGGGATTAAACGTAGCCGAGGTCAAGAATGAGAAGGTGCTATACCAGCTCTCCCTCCAAGCAGCCTACATGGCGTGTAGCTGGACTCCTTTGCTTATTTACATGTGTGTGTACACACACACACTTCTTCAAAACCAATACTATATACAGTAAAACCCCTCTAGTTGGACACCCCTATATCCTGGACACCCCTCTATATTGGACACTTTTAATTGGAACCGGCGAATATCCTATAATTTTACATGTCCACAATACCCTATATCTTGGACACCCCTTTATCCTGGAACTTGGTCACCCCTTTTGTTATAAGTTGGACAGGTTCATGTACTTAGCTTCACTGCTTTTATGGGAAACATTTACAGTTAGTATTTTGTTGTTTTGAATTTCCGACTGATGAATGCCTTCTACCTGAGGATTAGCTTATGGTTGAGGGTGTGAGACTTTGAACACATCATCGGAATGCATTGAAAGTGTATAGTTATTCCTTTGTTAAACCCTTCACTGTACTACAGTACATATTGCTGGTACAGTTTTAACTTTGTCAGTACAGTACAACCCCACTATAATGCGGGTCGCGGGGGTCAGGGGTAAACCAGCGTTATAGAGAAACCGCGTTATTACGGGAGTGCATCAGAATAATCGGTAGGTACAGTACTGATAGACTATCGTAATTTAAGAGTATACATACTTATTTAACTATGTTACGATTGATTTTTACGGAAAAAGTAATCATTAATTAATTTGGCTTGCATTTTAATATAATTTTGAGTTCTGTGTGAGGATAATTGATGAACTTTTTTCTTTTTTGCTGCGCTATGGGGAACATGAGGTACCCGCGTTATATCTGGAACCGCGTTATAGAGGGGTTGTAATATACTGTGCTTGCAACTGAGTTAACAGAAATTACAGTAGTTAGATTATGTAGGTAAATAGGTTAAATTGTCGGTAAACGTAAAGTATGGTGCCCTTCCCTTTCAGCTTATCCATGCAAGTTTAATTTAGTGAAAACAAAATTTGTAAAAATTTAATTTACCCTTTTCATTTTTCTTATCAATAATTTCCTTTTTGGGAAGGGCTCCATAATACAATTACCACATTGTCATTGCACCACAATTTTAAAGGATGATTTTCCCCTTTCCCTCTATCCTGGACACCTCTGTAAGTTGGACACATTATCGTGGAACCGCAAGTGTCCAAGTTACAGAGGTTTTACTGTATAGGCATACCTCGTTTTATTGCGCTTCGCAGATATTGCGTTTTTAACAAATTGAAGGTTTGTGGCAACCCTGCGTCGAGCAAGTCTATCGGCGCCATTTTTCCAACAGCATGTGCTCACTTTGCGTTTCTGTGTTACATTTTGGTAATTCACGTAATGTTCTCGCATTGATTTTTTAGACATAATGCTATTGCACACTTAATAGACTAAAATATAGTGTAAACATAACTTTTATACGCACTGGGAAACCAAAAATTTCGTGACTCACTTTATTGCGGTGGTCTGGAACTTAACCCGCAATATCTCCGAGGTATGCCTGTATACACACACACATGCACAGTTAATCGTGTCAACGGTAACATTTGGATTAAACATTAAACGGAAATTTGCTTTTATTTTTAGACTACTCTGCTCCTATGAATTTAGAATACACTAAAGTAAAATTACCTCTCGTAATCGGAACGAAACATTACCTTTAATTGAATCTGTTCTTTTAATTTGTGATATTGTTTTACATTTATGTAATTTCGTTCTGGGTATATTTGGGAAGAAACGTTCCCATCAAGAATTCGAAAAAATTAGTCTGTCATCAGTGACGTATTTGTAGAATAGCAGGATTTTAGGATGGCTGTCGTCTGCATTGTAGAACCGTGTAGACTGGTAGATGTTTACCAACGTTTCAGAGGTCCTTTCTGCCTCCATCATCAGGACGATATCCTCCATTATCATCTCCATGATTATAAAGGCAGCATTGATATCCAACGTCGGTAGGCAGCAATCTTCCCGTGCAGAATTCTTTAATGGACTATTGTAAAAAGTTAGGAAGACACTAAATGGAAAAGGAGAAAGAGCGGGATGGTGGGTAGAGAGCGATGGAAAGGGGCGGGGGGGAGATAGTAGGAAATATGAGTCGTTACCACTTGGGCCAACTGGCTGGGTAGTTACGTAATGAGACGATGTGGAAAAGGAAAATAGCTATGTTCAACGCATTGTACTCGTATTTGTATGAGATCTGAGGTGTTCACGGCTGTGAAAACGTGGATTGTGATCTTCAATGAGACGACAATAGTGTTATTGGTGTTGGAATAGTGGAAACGGTCTACAAGACTACACCACATAACCCAAATGACCACAATCAACCCAAACAGTTTTGTCGCTAGAAGGAAAAGGTAACCGAAAGTGGCTGGAAAGAGCAGCTTTCCGCTAGGAGCGACTGTCATATGTTTACGCGGCCCCCGCCTTGTGGGTCGGCGAAGTCAAACTGTGGAATGCCGCGTGTCTCTATGTAACCTTTGATGGAATGCATGTTACGAGCTGCCTGTAATTGATCGTAATTAATCTAGCATTACGTGACCGAAGATTTGATTATCGGTTTAATTAATCAGTTGTGACGTGAGGCAGTCGGAAGCATCGGTTTCGAATCCGATTCGGTAATTATTGCTGGATATTTGTGACTGTGGCCGATTGTAAATTCTGAACTTAAGTTTATAACAAGGTGTTAAGAGATGTCTTTTATGGTTATCACTGGAGTTTATTGGGGCTGCTGCGTAACAAATCTGGTCCTTTGTAGCGCTCGCCGATGTGAACTCTGAGGATGAGAGCAGATATTTCTCTCGAAACGTTGGCAGAATATATGGTATATTCACCGTTCAGCCACCTGACGCGGCTCGTAACCCGAGAGTCTTCCAACATTTGTGACTGTGCAGAATGTCATTTATTTATAAGTGCTGCTACCATTAGGCAGTTGTACTTATAAATTACAAAAAGTATGAAAGGGATAAGGAAGGAGAGCAAGAAATGATGTATAAAGAAATCATTCCCTGGTGATTTCAGCTGGCCTTTTCCGGGAGTGATAATTCGAGAGCATTATATCCTTGCCTGAAAGGATTCATGAAGAAGTCTTTGCGGTCCATTTAGAAGTGCTACCTTGCTGTTTCTTTAGAAGAAATGAGGAAAACCATTTAACTCATAGTCGGTGTCTGGCCAAGATTCTAACCGGGCACTACCCTACTGATTGAGCCAAGTTACTCGTTACCGTAGGTACACGCATTTCTTTGTCTACAGTCCAATGCTTAGTGTTGATTTCTGCTGTAAACATACACCATTAGGTTGTTGTGGAAGCCCCATTCAGAATTTTAGATTCAATTTACGGTCCAACCTTTGTGGTAAAAGATTTCTTGTGACTGTAACCGCAAAGGAATAACGAAGAAGTAGCTCTGGTCTTTTTGAAATGTTTCAGTCTGAATTTACAAAAGGAAAGCCACGATAAAGAGTTAGTTAGCCGACAACGTGGTCGAGATGCAAACAGGAGACCTCAGGAATACGAACCAGTCCTGTCAGAACTGTCCTGGTAATATAGGAACAGCCTTCCTTGCCGACACGAGTAAAACCAATATCGAGGATGTTGTGCTCCTCTTTGCCTTTGCAATGGTTGTAGCTAGCATTAAGTATTGCTTTTCTCTCTGCCTTTGTGTTTGATGCCTTTCTGCGTGTCTGCAAGGAAGCAGCGGTTGTTAAAGTTAGACTTCGTATGTAAAACAGAGTCAGTGTGGGGTATGTCATGGATTTGAGGTCAAAAATAGCTCTTTCTCAGTATAGTTTAACTTGTCAGCCACTGATTTTGAAATTTTACCTTTTTGGTGTAGTTTTATAAAAGATTTTCTTACGTAAACCTGAAAATGTTAATATTACTTCTATATGAAGATGGCTGTCTTCTGGAATGTTGGGCCGTGTAGTCTGGTAGAAGTTTTCCGACGTTTCAGAGGTGTTTGTTACACATCGTTTCTTCCTCTTTGTGACTGAATTAGTTGTTTAGAGGCCCCTTAGTGTGCTGTAGAGTTACACAGAGATAAACAGAATATTCCTGATTCGAAATGAAATAAAATTGTGAAATTGACTTTGAGAAATGAGGATTTTTCTGCAGATAATGAACACGCCTACAAGAGTCATAACGGTGTAGTACCCGTTATG